TTTTTTTTTTTAAATGATAAAAGCATAAAAAAGTTATTTATACATTGTTCATTTTTTCCTGAAACATTCATCTAACTTTTTTTTTTTAAATGTTACTAATAAAACGTTATATAGCACAGGCACATTATTTATGCATCTTCATTTAACGTTTTTTTCCTGAAGTGTCTGTCTAACATTTTTAAATGTTACTAATAGGATCTTTTTAGGATTTATCTGGTCGTTAATAATGTTCTCAAAACGTTTGCACAAAAATTTTATTTATACACATTTATTGAACATTTTTTTCCTGAAGCGTTCAACTAACGTTTTCTAAATGTTACCAATAAAACGTTCGTCAAAGTTTTCTGCTCTTTATTGTTCTCAAAACTTAAAAAGAAAAACATTATTTATACATCATTCATGAAACATCTTTTCCTGAAACATTCATCTAACGTTTTTAAATGTTACTTCTTGTTTCAAAACATTCGGATAACATTTAAAGTAACATTCCCACAATGTTTGCAAAATGATCAAATGGAATGTTCACGTAGCGTTTGCATAACCACCAAGAATAAACGTTTTGAAGTTTAGAGAACATTGGGAAAAAGTTTTTATAACTTAACTGGAACGTTAGCAAAACATTTGAAACAGTAACTGTGCACTATCCAGCAAGGATGCAGGTAGATTTTGGGACTGACATCAGACATTTCCAATTGTGCATAAATAAATTCTCAAAATAACCAAATATCGTCCGATTAATCGGCCTGGATGATATTTCAATCTATCATTAACCATAAGTGACCCTGGACCACAAAACCAGTCATAATGATTTATACAATAATGGAATAAATAAGCGTTCCATTGATGTATGGTTTGTTAGGATAGGACAATATTTGGTCGAGATACAACTATGCACTGCATATAATATGATCACAACGAAAGTTTCCCTGCTGAAATAATGCTTTAAACCAGCCCATGATGCTTTGCTGGTCCCAAGTTCTCAGCATAATCAAATAAATGTTATTTTATATTAATTAACCAGGTAATTGAGATATAAAAATGTTTGCATGGTCCGTTTTGTCATCTCGGGCCCTTGTTTAACACTCTGCATGTGGAGTTTGTCAGGTGGAGGATTGTAGTAATCGCTCTCTTACCTTCTCTATATGCTGTGCAAGCGTAGCGCAGCGATGCGTCGCGTCAGTTCCGTCGCGCTGCGCAGTTGTGCGCAGATGAAGGAATGCGAGTGAGCGTGTGAAAGTGCGACGCTAAACTGGCATTATTTCTAACTTTCACCCAGTCCGACTGAAGCAGCCCGTTATCAACGGCAGAGGAGGTTCTCTCGCGCAGCACAAAGTAGGTACATTTGCATTTCTCCGACCCTCCCCTCGCTTTTCACCAGTCATTGTGTGGCGCGGTTGGGGTCCTTATTTGGCCCCCGATTAAATCCTCACTGGCCCGCTCTCAAAAAACGCCTTATAAGCAGTTCTGGTGTGACACATCGCGTTAAGACCTTGTTTTCTATATGCTCTTCTGATACTGAATGCATCGAAACAAATTCACAAAAAGCTTTAGATATTGTTACAAACAAGGTATTGGAGCAACAGGTGTCATAGTAAAAATGAAAAGACACTTGAGGCATCATTTGAGGTTCCTCAGACTGACAGAGAACATGCTCTTCTCAGAGTTCCTCAAATAGCTTAATTATATCTCAAGTCTTTCCTTTAAGATGGGGTTTCTGGAGGATAGTCAATGAAGAAATGTATGGTTCATGTCTTAAGTTCTCCAGAAGGTTCCACCAGTGTGACAACCAGAAATTTTACATGTCTTTGTTATGATTTCGTAACATTTTCAGAATACATACATTTTTTTAAATGCTGGGTAGTTGAAATTTAACATTTTTATTTTCTAATATATATATAATTTTCTTATATTTTTAATGCCTTTTGCTGTTTAATTCTAGTCTAAGCATCAGGTTATTTAGCTGCACATATAATAAATCTAGAAGAATTATCAAAATGTTTAAAGTAGTTTTAGATAAATAAGAAATATAGCATGTCATTGTCAACTGCATAGGGTGTCTGCAAATTATTTACAAACACACACACACACACACACACATATATATATATATAAAAATTTTAAAATAAATGTATGCATTTAGCAGACGCTTTTATCCAAAGCGACTTACAGTGCATTCAGGCTATACATTTTACTTTTTATTCAATTCTGTGTAATTCAATTCTCAATTCTTTATTCAATTGATTTTTTTTTTTCAATTCTGTGAAAAAAAGTCATAATTGCAAGTTAAAAAGTCATAATTGCGTGATATAAAAAGTCATAATTGAGAGATATAAACTCACAATTCTGACTTTTTTTCTCGCAATTGCGAGTTTTATTCAGTGGCGGAAACGGGCTTCCATAATTACGTTACCTGACAGGACTCTGAAATAAATATTGCGAGAAGAAATCACATTCTGTCAGGAGAGCGGCCCGCGGTTTTTTTTTAGCCAATCATTTTGCGCGTTCGAGTTTACCGCGAACCGGTTGGTTGACGTGTCATTGCAGGGCGGAGTTAAAGAGAGAGGGGTGTGGCTAAAGTACTTTACCTCATTTTTAACAGCGTGGTGGTCAAAAATTGACTTTTTTTTTTAATTATGTACTACATTTTAATTTGTTAATGGTTTTTTATTTTATATTTTGTATTTTTTAGCAGATTTTATCATACTAAAATATATTTACGGAATAGTTTTTTTGTTCATATAGCAAGTGCTTAAGGTAAAAGGTAAAAATTTTCAGTCAAAAATGACCGAACAACAGAGAATGAAGTCAGTTTATACATTTCTCTGACTGAGAGAATTTAAGGCAGACGTCAAATGCATTAGATGTATTTTATTATAAAATTTTTAAAAACAAATGCATATGTATAAACCATGATAAATATGCATATGCAGTATAATCATACAGTAAAATGTTTATATTCATATAGTTTTTATTTTTAAACATAAAGGATATTTTAGCATTCAAACTAGCAGTGGTGATATTTCCTCGTTCAGTCAATGGCAGGGTCTCCCAAAGGAGAAATAGCCTTTTTTTTCCAGAAAAGCTACAGAGCAGCACTGTTCACCTGAGAAAAAATACTTGAAGAGACACCGTCACACAAAACCATCTGAGTGACGGAGAGAAATCTGCGGCCGAGCAGAGCATCACGGCTAAATTACACAATATGATCATTTTAAATATCATGGGGTCATTCCTTCTATGCAGTATATTTCATGACCCCATTCATACATGTCTGTATATACTGGATAAAATCCTAAAGATGGAAATCACATTAGTTTCCTTTATTGCAATTAAGTGAATTGGTTTGATTGCTGTTTTTATTTTCCCTGGGTCTCTAATTTAAATGTTTCAAATTAAATATGTATATATACGCTACCAGGGAAAAGTTTGGTATAATAAAGATTTTTTAATATATATTTTCAAAAAAAGTCTCATGATTTGAATGTTTTCTGAAGGATCGTGTGACACTGAAGACTGGAGAAATGATGCTGAAAATTCAGCTTTGAACACAGAAATAAATTATATTTTACAATATATCACAATAGAAAATAGTTATTTTAAATGCTAATAATATTTCACAATATTACTGTTTTTACTGTATTTTTTATCAAGTAAATGCAGCCTTGGTGAGGAGAAGAGACTTCTTTCAATAACATTAAAAAATCTTAATTATTCCAAACCTTTGACTGCAAGTGAGTGTGTGTGTGTGCAAAGTGTTTAAATAATTTGCATGAATTATTAAAAATGTATATATATATTTATAGTTCATGAACACTTATTAATATTAAAATTATGCAAAATTGGTTTGAATGAATGATTCAATGACTCACTCATAAATACTTGTTTCATTACTGGATGAATCAGTGTTTTTGAACGAATCTCTTGTATGATTCAAAGACAAATAGGCCAACATTTTAAGCATACTCTCTGTGTCAGCAGCAGCGCGAATGCAGATTTCAATGTTCCGGTATGACGTTTTCAAAGATTTATCGTTGTCATTTAGAAGTGAGATTGCGTGAGTGTTTGAATCGACGATAAATCGATTCGTGTATCGATTCTGAGATTATCCAAATGCATCGTGATTCTCTCTCGATCGATTCTGAGCGATTTCTGGTTTTGAACAGCAGATGGCGCTGCATGCTTTAGAAACAGCCGTACTCTGCTTGTCTCCAAATCCTTATACACACTTAAACCTAAAACAATCATTCATAAAATTAGAAAAGGTTGAAGTGAATTACACGGGTGTTCACAGTGGGCTGTGTTTACATTAATCTCAAGTCAAAAAAGCATAAAAGCTGAGGTGCAAGTACATTTAACCACTTACATGTCTCAGCCGAACGCTACGGCTGGGAAAATAAATCGATGCATCGCGAATCGAGAAATTATTCTGCATCGATTCTGAGATTTTCCGAAGGCATCGTGATTCTCTCTTAAAATAATCATTTATACAGTTTGAAAAGGTTGAAGTGAATTACACGGGTGTTCATAGTGGGCTGTGTTTACATTAATCTGGCTTCATAAAAGCATTCTGAGCCGAGGTGAAGTTACATGACTCAATGCTCTTCGTGAGTGTGTGGATAAAAACTACAGTAGAGCGCCATCTGCTGTTAAAAACTAAGCTCAGAATAGATTCCAGAGAGAATCGCGATGCATTCGGAAAATCGTAGAATCGATCCACGAATCGATTCTGCATCAATTTATCCTCGCAGCCCTTCCGAACACACAAGGGCTCATCTTCGTGAGCATTTGAGTGTGTGGTTTAAAACTAGCCTAGAGCGCCATCTGCTGTTAAAAACTAAGCTCAGAATCGATTCCCAGAGAGAGTCGCGATGCATTCGGAAAACCTCAGAATCTATCCATCAACCGATTTATCGTCACAGCCCTATTAATCGTGCAGCTCTACGTGACGGGCTTAGTCCAGCCTGAAGTGAGCTCACATCCACAGCTCTATGAGTTCGTCTGTACCATCACGTCTGGTGGTAGTGGTGATGATGATGGTGTTCGTGATGATGATGGTGTTCGTGTCGCTGGACCACAGGCAGCACAAAGCCGGCGCTGTGTTCGCTGATGGGCGAGGGCTGCTGTGGTTGGGTGTGTTTGGAGGGCGACAGCGCCTGTTCTCTGGCTCTGGCTCTCGATCTCTTGCTGTGGCTGTGCTGGAGACCCGTCGAGGGCTGAGGCTGGCTCTGCTGGGCGAGATGGTACACATCCGCCGGATAGAAGCCGTGGCACTTGCTGGTTTTGGCCGCAGACTGGCCGCCTTTGGAGGTGCTCCTGGGGGATCTGATGGACTGGGGCCCGGCGCGCACACGGGGATCCGGGGCCGCGCAGGGGTGAGAGAGGACCTGAGACCGCCGCTGATGGGCGTGAGTCTCGGGCTCGTGGGAACGAGAACGGCTCTGATCGTGTGAAGACCGTGACGGCTGCTCTTGCTGGGCCGCAGGAGGAGAGGAACCTTGATGAAGGAGCAAATTAAAGAGAATATATTATATATTTTATAAAAGGTTACAAAAACCAAGGAATTATATTTTATAAAGGGTCAGAATAATTATCAAAATTACGGAAAATATATTTTATAAAGCGTCAGCACAATTATTAAAATTAAGGGAAATATACTTTAAATATAGGCTGGCAAAATGAAAAAATAAATTAAGGAGTTATAATATAAACAGTCAGCACAGTAATCAAAATGAAGGAAAATATATTTTACAAAAGGCTGGCAACATGAACAAAAATTAAGCAATCATATTTTATAAAGGGTCAGAACAACAATTATTATTTTTTAAAAGGTAGGAAAAATTGCCAAAAATTAAGGGATTATATATTATAAAGGGTCAGAACAATGGCTGAAGTTAAAAGTTAAAGAAAATATATTTCTAAAGGGTTAGCAAAATGAACACAAGTTAAGGAATTATATATTATAAAAGGTCAGAAAAGTAAACAAAAATTAAGGAATTATACATTCAAAATTAAGGAACTATATTTTATAAAGGGTCAGAACAACAATCAAAATTAAGGAAAACATTGTAGAAAACATCAGAAAAATGAACAAAAAATAAGCAATTATATTTTATAAAAGAAAATAAAAAAATATAATACTTTGGATAAAGAAAATCCTGTTTTCGGGAAAATTAATAAAACGCAATTTAAAAAATCTGCATAAATTAAAAGCAGCACAACAAGTACTACCATGATGAGAAATTGGAGGGGGTGAGCTTAATGTATGAAAATGTAAAAAAAAAAAGATATTAATGCCTCAAGGGTCCTAATATTGCTTATTTTCATGCAAAATAGTTATTTGTTTTCATTTTGTGCTGTGAAATATGACATTTCTTGATGGGTTTTGTGAGACTCACCCTTCAGTGTTTGTGAAGTATTTTTGTGTGAAATCTGACCCTGAGATTCTCCCTTTAATTTCTAATCATTCAAACAGCACACGTTTCTGTGAATTGTTTGCTGTAATGACTGGAAACGTCAGTGTTAAGGACTGTGTTTCTGTGATATTACACACGTTCAGCAGAGTCTTACTGTCAAATCTGGAGGTGTAGTTCTCTATTCCCGCCAGATCCAGGTAATGGTTTCGTCTCTCTGTGTTCTCGTCCACACAGTACTGATTCTGACCTCTGTGAGAAACACACATCATGTGGACATACGGCACACAAATGCTGATTCACACGATACACAAGCGCCAGCGGCTCACCTGATGTGTGTGTCCTCTGCGTGAACCGACTCGATGCGACTCAAGCGACTGTCTGAAGCAGGAGCGAAGAAAGTTCAGAAATTAGGCACAAAACCAAGTAGAGTTCTGTTTTTTAAGGCTGCTTTTACAACAGTGTCTCCTGATGTGTGTGTCCTCTGCGTGAACCGACTCGATGCGACTCAAGCGATTGTCTGAAGCAGGAGCGAAGAAAGTTCAGAAATTAGGCACAAAACCAAGTAGAGTTCTGTTTTTTAAGGCTGCTTTTACAACAGTGTCTTATGCAATCAGAAATGTGACCCTGGAGCACAAAACCAGTCATAAGGGTCAATTTTTAGAAATTGAGATTTATACATCATCTGAAGGCTGAATAAATAAGCTTTCCATTGATGTATGGTTTGTTAGGATAGGAGGACAATATTTTGCTGAGATACAACTATTTGAAAATCTGGAATCTGCGGGTGCAAAAAAATCTAAATATTGAGAAAATCACCTTTAAAGTTGTCCAAATGAAGTTCTTAGCAATGCATATTACTAATCAAAAAATAAAATGCTAAAATACTAAAAATTAAACTAAAATCAAAATGAAAACTGAAAAAGTGAAAGCCAATAAAAATATTAATGAAAACTATAATAGTATAAAATAATACTAAAATAACACTGCAACCATAAAATATCTAAAATGCAAAACACAGTATACAATATTTAAAAAAATATTATTTAATGTTTTATATATTAGAAATATATTTATTTGTGTAAACCCATAAATTATAACAGGTTCATAATAGATAACTAAAATTAAAACTAAAACCATACAAAGAATCAACTAAAATAAACATTAACTGAAAAAAAAAACTTTTTAGATTATATTTAAAAAAAAACTAATAAAAATGACAAAAACACAACAAAAAACTTCAACTAAAATTAAAGTGAAAACAGAAAAAGAAAAAAAATTTGATTCAAAATATTAACAAAAACACTTTTTTAGACTATATTTAAAAAAAACTAATAAAAAATGACAAAAACACAAAAGTACTAAACCTTCAAATAAAATTAAAGTGAAAACAGAAAAAAGTTTAATTTGATTCAAAATATTAACAAAAACACTTTTTTAGACTATATTTAAAAAAAACTAATAAAAAATGACAAAAACACAAAAGTACTAAACCTTCAAATAAAATTAAAGTGAAAACAGAAAAAAGTTTAATTTGATTCAAAATATTAACAAAAACACTTTTTTAGACTATATTTAAAAAAAACTAATAAAAAATGACAAAAACACAAAAGTACTAAACCTTCAAATAAAATTAAAGTGAAAACAGAAAAAAGTTTAATTTGATTCAAAATATTAACAAAGCTACAATAATATATCAATGATACTGATTAAAGTGTGCACTTGTTTTATAATATTAGTTTGATTGTTTTGGGTCTTTTAACTGTTAGTGCTTCATAATTTTTTGTCCATCAAGGTCCAAATTAAAAGGGAAAATAATCAAGTCAGATGAATCACCTTTAATTTGTGAAGTATTTAATTAATAATGGCTTGGTTATTTCAAATAGTAACTTTTTAAATTATATTTCCAGCTGAAATCACTGAAGTACAGTGGGTACGGAAAGTATTCAGACCCCCTTAAATTTTTCACTCTTTGTTATATTGCAGCCA